ATGGTATAGTTGTCATGCAGGGAGACTCAGTCACAGGAACTTGTTAATGTGATAACTACTGAAGAGAAAAAATGTTGTTGATGCAGACTTCAAAAAATATAATATCTTTACAGGTGCTGAAGGTGCAGTATTTGAAGGAGCAATACAAACACCACATATCAGAGCAGAAGCAAGAGAAGAACTCAGGTATTAATATAAGCACATATTTAGAGTTCAAGTTGAATCTGGTAGAAACCTGGTTCTGGTTGAATATAGTGGAAACCGGGTTCTGGTTGAATCTAGTAGAAACCTTGTTCTGGTTGAATATAGTGGAAACCGCGGTTCTGGTTGAATCTAGTAGAAACCTGGTTCTAGTTGAATCTAGTAGAAACCTAGTTCTGGTTGAATCTGTTAGAAACCTGGTTCTGGTTGAATCTAGTAGAAACCTTGTTCTGGTTGAATATAGTGGAAACCGGGTTCTGGTTGAATCTAGTAGAAACCTGGTTCTAGTTGAAACCTGGTTCTGGTTGAATCTAGTAGAAACCTGGTTTTAGTTGAATCTAATAGAAACCTGGTTCTGGTTGAATATAGTGGAAACCTGGTTCTGATTTGATTGAGTCTAGTAGAAACCTGGTTCTGGTTGAATCTAGTAGAAACCTAGTTCTGGTTGAATCTAGTAGAAACCTGGTTCTGGTTGAATCTAGTAGAAACCTGGTTTTAGTTGAATCTAATAGAAACCTGGTTCTGGTTGAATATAGTGGAAACCTGGTTCTGGTTGAATCTAGTAGAAACCTGGTTCTGGTTGAATCTAGTAGAAACCTGGTTATGGTTGAATCTAGTAGAAACCTGGTTATGGTTGAATCTAGTAGAAACCTGGTTCTGGTTGAATCTAGTAGAAACCTGGTTCTACTTGAATACATGAATCAACAAAAGTTAATTTCTTATCATTACTATTTGAATCAGTATTTTACAAAGTAGATAAATCTTGATATTGTTAGTTTTGATTGTCTTTGTTTATTGTCATTACTAGATTGGAATCCACTACTAGATCCTTATACATGCAGGCCCCTGAGGGTATTGAATTAGATGCAGAAGGTGGTGATTTCACAGCTACTTGCCGTACTGATCTCAGGCTTCAGTCAAAACAAGGCTCTGTAAGTATACAATTTACTTTACTTATTGATGGTTTTGTTTCGTGGTCGTATTGCTAACATAAGATGCATAAGGAAAAATTCTGTTTGAGCTTGTTTGTGTACATATATATAAAAATATTGTGTATGAGTATAAATATATTGTGTAAGAGTTTAAATATATTGTGTAAAAGCATAAATTATGTACTGTAGAGGTATAAATATATTGTGTAAGTGTATAAATATATTGTGCAAGTGTATAAATATATTGTGCAAGTGTATAAATATATGGTCTAGGAGTATAAATTATATACTGTAGAGGTATAAATATATTGTGTAAGTGTATAAATATATTGTGTAAGTGTATAAATATATTGTGTAAGTGTATAAATATATTGTGCAAGTGTATAAATATATTGTGCAAGTGTATAAATATATTGTGCAAGTGTATAAATATATTGTGCAAGTGTATAAATATATGGTCTAGGAGTATAAATTATATACTGTAGAGGTATAAATATATTGTGTAAGTGTATAAATATATTGTGTAAGTGTATAAATATATTGTGCAAGTGTATAAATATATTGTGCAAGTGTATAAATATATTGTGCAAGTGTATAAATATATTGTGCAAGTGTATAAATATATTGTGCAAGTGTATAAATATATTGTGCAAGTGTATAAATATATTGTGCAAGTGTATAAATATATTGTGCAAGTGTATAAATATATTTATATTTATTTTCACAGATTGTATTAGATACAAAAAATATAGAATTCAAAAGTTTACAGAAATCCTCAGCCGGCTCCACAGGAGGAACATATTACCCTGACGTATATGAACTATGTACATGTTTAAGTGGCAAACTCTTCATAGCTGATGCAGAGTCTGGCTGTCGAGTATCCGAAGATATATGCAATTAAACCAGATATTAGTGGAACTAAATACGTCTCATATAACACTTGCATGGTGTCACACTAACTAAGCCCTATTAAAAAGTCCACCATTGTGCACACTCTACAAAGCCATACAATAAACTGTGATACTAGGTGACTGATGTAGGTGGTAAGAACAGTGTCTGCACTACTGCAATTTTCAGCCATGCCAACCTTTATGCCAAAATAACCGCTTACCCGGTACGTGAATTTAAGTTTGTGTGCCACTGATGCTAATATTTGAAATACTGTATTGCTTTAATGTGTAACAAATTGTGGATGATGGAAAAAAAAAAATTATTCCTTTTGTATTCCTTAATGCTAATATGTGAAGGATTTGATCAGAAATGATTATTAATCTTCTGATTAGTTATTATATTTGCTGTAATTCATTCATTCATTTGGATCATACAGTTAGCAGTGAGATTTGTTATACTGCCCTCTATGGCAGTCAACTATCTAGTCACATGACTGAATTTGTACCAGTTATATTGTGCCAATGTCATGCACTGACTTATTTTGTCTCATCTCAAAGTGCAATCCATGTCTATCTCATGAATATTTGGCAAGTATACTGATATTTGTTATCTATTATACTTTTGATTATTAATATATTATTGTGTAGCACATTGAACAAAAAAAAACTAAATATGGCAATATCATTGATTTAAATTTAAATATTAATGCATTTTTTATGATATTGTTATAGTTTCCCATTCTGTATTCTCGTGAACCAATCAGCTGCAAGCTATTTTATATATATATTCATGAGCTTCCAGCATCGGCCAATCCCCTGTATGGTGCATAGTCATGTGATTGACAATCTGGGCAGCAGGGGTTACTAATGCATTATGCTGACTAAAAAGGTGTGGTGATTTCGAGACAAGAATGCTTAGATTGATTTATTATCAAACATACTAACAATATTTTTATTTATATTAGTTCAATATTTTTGTAGTTGGTACCATATTTATTCTGATTCATTTTTTTTTTTTAAATTTATTAAAACATATGTTTTTGTTGCAATTTATATTTGCAATTGTAGAACTAAACATAATCAAAAAGAATTGAAAAAAAATCTGTGATCTGCCATGCTCCATACGCGCACACAATTGGACATGTTGTTTTAGAGACCACAACTGCAGATTGTCAATAATTTGGACAAGACTATCCTGAGTTTGGTGTCGAAAATGGACATGGTCTGAAAAATAACTGGAAATTATTTGATAGAAACATGATTTCTGATATTGTGTTGGTGAGCAGCAAATACAGATTCTGGCCTTGTCAAAAAAAACAAAACAAGGTTTTTATTTTCTTGTTTTCAAAACCTTATTTTTACTGCATGATTTTTTTTTTCTTTTGTGAAAACCTTACCTCATTTTTAAGTTATCTAAAAAAAAAAAGAGTTTATAACTTAGTTTTAACAGTTGGTTATATATTTATTTGTTTTTAATAATCCATCGTTTCTTGCCTTTGTACAGTCTAGTAAACTTAACATAGAGGGCGCTCTCACCTCAAAGTACATTTATAATATCCATAGAGTACACAGTATAAAGCATTTCAACGTGTCCTCAGCATTTTCACCAAGTCTTTGCTTTATTATTTAGTTCATTTCCATTGTCTACTACTATTAAATATTAAATGATGTTTCTGTCACTGCCTAACATGTATAGCACAACTCTAGCTTTTCAATATATTTTCTGTTTTTGTAATTTAACACATGGGGTGGGTGGGAAAATTCATATATATATAGAAGATAGAGAGGGTTATTTTTCTAAAATACTAGCAATCATGAATATTGATGTTATTGTGTTCATTTAATTAGTGTGTCAAGTGACTTGAACTTCAGTAAACATGTAACAATTTCTACAAATCGAGTAATTGTGGAAATTTTTTTTTTTAATATTTTGTTCAAATTTGATCCATTCCAGCGTTCATTGTATGTAACAGAAATAGTCATGGCAACATGTGGTAGTTTGGCTTTAGGAAGTTGTCCGTTATCGGCCAACTTTAGAGCTAGCCGACCTGCCAATCCGAATACTGGTATCTTTGCTGTATGTACTTAATGTGCTGCTTCAGGGATATTGGCAAAACACAACTTGACCATGGTATGACAATGACAACATGTAAAAGACTGCGCACAATTAATGCAGATTAAGCATACATACTGCAGTATTGTGTAATTGATCAAATCAACCAATAGGATGGTGCATATTTGGTAGCTTCTTTCACGCAAAAATCAATACTGCTGACTTTGTACACTGACCGCTGACTTCAGGTTGCACGGTGGCACAGACTAACTTCAGGCTGTACACCGACACCAACTGATGTATGGTTATACTCTGGCACTGCTGACTTCGACTGACCCACTCACCATCATGTTGTTTTCTATTTGACCAATTATCAATAGTGTTAGAGTCTATTGTAAACCATTTTGCAGCCAGGAATATTAATATCGCAGGAACTAAATTTCATCAAAGACAATCTGAAATTGTCACTGCTGCAATCTTCACTTTGCAATAGTTTCTGCATAAATTCATGTCACAAATAACACGGTTTACAGTGTTATAAATATTGTACTTTTTTAAACAAAACAAATTGTTGTTGAGTTTTGTACTAAAAGGGTTGGGTTCAAAGTTGTTGAGAAATCCTATGTAAAAGTGAAACGAAGGTTTTAATCAAAATTTTGTGAGTTTCCTGCCTTCTTTTATGTTAATAAATCATTAATTTTTGACTTGTTCTTAGTATCATTTGTATGACATATCGACTTGGTGTATTTCTTGCACAGTTGAACCAATCGGTGTTTTGTGCATCACCTGGTAACCTAAGCAACTGTTGCTATGAAACACATGGCACTCATGAGTTAGAATTCTGATGAAAATATTTGAATAAAAGAAGCCACCATGTACATAATATTTGCTCACTTGTAACTAGTAACAGTACACGTTGACAATCATGAGGGTGAATACAATATTCCCATGGTAAATGGTGAACAAAAATTAATTTTGAATTTTTCAAGTAGGGTGCTTGACTGAGCAACCACTTTTTAAGCTCCCTGATGACACCAAATCAGTTTTCTTAGCCAGCCACAGTAAATGCTAGACTCGACTTCCAGTCTGGAGAAAATTGCCAACAGTGGGTTGGACCAGTCCATATTCTTTTTTTTTATTTCTCTCTGGCTTCGACCTTTTTATTTCTGGATACGTTTGACACGACACCTGAAGCCTGACAGAAGCGCCACTAACACAGAGTGTTATATAGTAAATAACATGTACTTCAGTCCTGTATTAAAATAGGGACATTTTGTATATATTTTGAACCTCTAATTGCGACCGCAAACAGCACTAAAAAAATCTCTCTGAATTCTCTGTTAAATCCACATAGATATATTTTTTAAAACAGTATCGCCACAAAAATGACAAAAGATGTCGACTTCTGCGATAACTTGAATGGAACATAATTTGAAAAAGGCGATAGAGGGCGTGATTTCGGCCCAGTGCATTTGTCATAGGTCATCTCCGAACTGGGCTCGAACGCGTTAGCACAGTGATTTTTTTGCTCTTTGTCTATCCATGAAAGGTAATAGGAGAGAGGGCGCTATTTGCTACTTTCATGCCAAAATTTGTTTGCACAGAGATTACAGCAGTTGCGTTCAAATTACTGATCCCGGGAGCGGAGCTACGCCAAAGAACGTTACGTTGCTAAGACGCGCGTCACTGTACTATGTATGCGCGAGCTGCTGTTGAGCGCTATATAGAAAATAATATTTGGTAATCGTAGTCCTAAATAACTTTTTTTTAATAGTTATTCTTTTATTTCCTTGCCTCGAGCTGACTCGAGGAATGGTTTCTAGGTCACTCAGGGCGCCCGAGGCGATTTATCGAAAACGCTCCAAGTAAACCACAGGGAGCCCAGGAACTATGATCAACTGTACGCACTCTCTATGAGCGGGGGGGGGGGGGGGTATCGGCTGATATCTAGTATAAAAAATAGACAAGCCAGCTCATATTTTTTAAACTGGAAAAACAGACGAACATAATGAAAAATAAAATCTATAAAAAATACCAGGTTGGAGAATATTAGTTGCTCTTTCAAATTTCGCCAAAGCCTTACCTAGATTTTACCGATATCTGTAGAATAAATCAAGAAAACTCAGCTGAAAACTAAACAAATTGACACCATTTATGAATACCTAACGGTTTGGCCGAACGCCCGGCACAGTTGGAGGCGTGGCCTGTTCAGCATTTGTCAACAACCAATAACAGGACTGGTTACGAACCAGTTGAGCAATGCTAACCGAGTCGTGACAGCAGCAATGATAATATTTAGCCAGATTTTTTTTGATTGAAAAATCCCCTTTTTTAATAATTTTTGCTTCAGTTTCAAGTACAGCATGGTATTAGTTTCAAACAAATCTCGAATTTGGAATATATAATCAGGTCACAATTCCCATAAAACATTCTCTGATTGAAGAAAAATGGTAGATCAGTGATACATTAATCCTATTATTGCCAGTCTCGTCCTATGTACATTTACACTGACCAGATAAAGGTTAATTTTGAAGATAATGTAAATTTTATGCGAGTGTACCAATCACAGTACGAACACGGATAACAAGATATAATAATAATAATTAATTAAATGATATACGTGTCAAACATACATACTAAATAGATATTGTGTTGCTTTTTTCATATTTAATTTCATTGTCAATTTTATTGCCGTATCGGATAAATAGAGAAAGTCGTACGAGTGCCGTATATGAGCGACATTACGTAATTAATATTCAAGAGAGCCGGCAAATTATTCGTCATGTGTGTCACATGGCGATCAGTTGTAGACGTGTCATACACCGTTTGTTTATTAAAGAGAGTTGTATGAGAGTTGAAACTGCATTAACTGTCTGAGCAACACTTGCGCAAATGATTTAGTTGACTCTGATGATGTATGGCTATATCAGAAACTTTGCGATATGCAGTATAATATTCTATAAAATATTGGAAAACTCGTAATCAAACACAGTACCATCACACCACGACTGTTTCTTATAATCAATTACATTATTAATAAACAGTGTAAACAAAATTGGGCTCAGTACTCAGCCTTGTCTAAGTCCTAGCAAACTTTCAAAATACTTAGTTAATCGTCACTTAGGTTTTAAGTTTACT